TGCGAACGTCAAGATTGAGTTGAAAAGAAGAAATATACTCAGCCTCATGCTCATTGCTAGGCGCACACGCCATGAGAACCAGACAGCAACCCAAATTTCCGTAGTGGCGACTGCAACTTAAATGGGCTTTGTATGCATAGGTCGGGCGCCGATATCAAAGAGAGTCCTGTCGCCGTCATAGGTAGCTCAAGCATTTTTTTCTTTTTTCGGGTTTTGATACTATTGTACAGCGCCATGTCGTAAATGATCGTACGGCGTGAGGTCGCAACGCCGCAACGCCTGACTGCCTGCAATGCCTGACCACAAATTTTTTTCCACAACCACCGATGGCGCCCAGAGACAGTGTACCCCGTGCTCTTACAACTATTAAGTTTGTAAAGGTATACACCACAACCCTTATAACTCAGCGGTTAGAGGAGTGTGGGGTAGATGTTCTGGAGGACTAGCTTGCCTATTCCCCTGACTTAAATCGCATTGAACATGTTTGAGTACATCTCAAGAAGCTTTACCATCAACACTACCCCCATTTGGGATATGATACTAGATTACCTTAAGTATTGAAGCCCCTCGTGGAGGAAGGTCTAATTCATTGCTGGGAACTGTTACCTGATGATTTATTCTCTAGAGATTTGGTAGCTAGTTGAGAGCATGCCTAGGAGAATAGAACTGTTATAAAGGCAAGGGGTTGGTATACAAGATATTAAATGTCTAATTATCTTTATTTAGCTACTACTGAACAACTATACAAAAAAACAGCTCTCCAAAGGGTCAATTGTGGTTGCTAGGTGGTAGTCATGATGGGGCGGGAGGTGTCGAAACCCGTTGCTACGCCGCCCCCGTACGACCCAGAACTATACCTATGTACGCCGAGGCCGGAAATCGGCAACGTGTGTCATGATGCCTACCTAGATCGATTGCGCTGACCGCGTCGATCTTTGAGATTATACATTCGAGACTGAAAAACGCCTCGCGATATTCCTTGACCTCATATCGGGAGTTTCTGACGCATGTTATTTTCGGACATGCCTTAATTTTTGTTATAAGATGAATCACAATTTGTCACTCGACGATTAGTCTTGACAATATGAGGGAATTTCCATCGCCGTGTCATTCATTTAGTTCCAGGGCTTATTTGCGACCCAAAACAGTGCATACGGCCTGTGTTTAAAATTGAAACAAAGAGCCGAGAGACCTGTGATTACTTCCCCAGTAATATAAATACTAGACAGTGAAAATACTGTGATCCTGGATATTAAGCCATGTTTCGTAAAGCCAATGGATGGGGAAACCTAAATTAAGTGTTGATAGTTCTCTAATAAGAAACTTATCAATAGAGTGACTAGAGTCAGTTAACCAAGTTCAATTTGAAGTCACAAGTGGCTTTGGCAAAGCCATAACTATAGGATATACTAGGTTCTCCCTAGTATCTAGTGAGTCTATGCACTAGTATAATCCTGTAGAATGAGAAATCGGCTGAGTACAGGTGTATAATTATTAGCGCTTGACTATATTTTAAAACTAACATCGGGGGGGAGTAGAATTAAGAAGGAGATGAAAGCTTAAGTTACAGCATCATTTATGAGGTCAATGGCGAGGAATGATATCTGTATAGAGTCCTCTTCAGTGCGTAGAAACTAGACAGGCCTCCTATCACTCGTAGACCTAAACGGCGACCTCAGAAGTGGTGGTTTTCCATCATAATTTCTTGTCTGACGCCTGTTGTCTCCCTAATGGCCACTAGTTTCTTTGAGAGATTTATCAAAGCTGAGTGTAATCTGATAGATATTAATAATCTTTATGTATGACCTTTAAATTGTGCACGCGTAGATCGCCTGTCATAACAATACCTATACCACGAGAGCTTACTTTAGTTCTCGATAGGTATCGAAAGGCTATCCTGAGCTAAGCAAAGTTGTTCGAAGGAGTCGTTTAGTGATCCTCGAATGACACGCTTTGTGGCTTCATGATATCTTTTTGATGCGCATGTTTTTCCTAGGAATGAAATTGTTATGTAGTGTTGAAGGCAACCTTCATTATTTTCCTAGGTTCAGAGACACAGTTTTGTTATTTCTTCAATTTAGAGTCCACGACTCATAATCCAAGAAAGGCGATGATACGTCGGCCCAGCTTGATGGGGTAGGCCTTCCTATATCCGATAAAAGTTGGGCCATACTTCATTCGTGAGGAAGGCTATTCGAACTATATAATCATTTTGGTTTTCGAGTTAATGCCAAAGTATCAATGCATATGGATGGATCTTGAGTAGAATCGTGCGCAGAAATTTCGTACTAACATTGGTGATGGCGCTATCGGACATTTGTATTCCGTGAATATAGTTTTCAATCCAACAAATAACATCCTGTACAAGCCATATGGCATCTGATTGGTACTTAGTTACGCTCTTCTTTAGCATCAGTTCCTAAGGGGGATGATGCGAGTTTCTGCGCAAGAATTGCGTCAAGCATTGGAAATATAATTGCCGATATTTATGAAAGCGAATAATTGGAAGGCTAGAGGTACTATCAGCCTTTGTATTCGAAGTGGTGGTGCGTTCTCATTCAGAATTGTGAAACATTGCGCACACAACGTCTACGAAATAAAAGAGAAAACATATATTTAGATCTCATGACGTAAAACGTGAGTTTCCCCGCAATTTTGAAAGGAGAATTGGACTGCGCATGGGCACATCGCCTTCACTGCCCGGGTGAGATTTGGTACTCGCTTGGAGGTCAAATCGCTTGCCTGACCGCTTGTGCTTCGGTCTTCGGATGCATCTCCATGACTCAGTGTAGCCTTAAATGAGATTGTGAGGGGAAGTACTAGTGATGGAGGTAGCTGGTACATACATGGTGTTTACCTAGAGTATGTTCGGGCATCTCAGCCTCAGGGCGCAATCTCATCTTGCTATTGGTGGATGTCGTACCCATGCTCACCATTATATAAGCAATTATTTGGAAATACCTAGCAGCTGAAGCAGTAAAGCGGGTTCGCGGGAAGATTCTTCCAAAGTGGCAAAAACCGGCCAGGCCAGACTGGATGGCAAACGAATCCATTAGGTAAGATTAGCTTTGAGGGGGGCCTCGAACCGATGTCTAAACGTTTGATTTCATGGAGTTTTACTGTCCCCAGGCGTGAGCAGCAATTTGGCAGTAAAGGGCATGTAGGTTAAACAAGTAGGTCCATGGTAGATTGGTAAAGAGAGATGTAGACACGTTTCTGGGTCAACTGCCGTTCCGCGAAGGGTTCAAGGTCCTTCAAGGACCCTTTATTTCTTCCTTTACCCTTGTCGTTATTGACATGCATCAGGTACATATGTACGTAGATACCCTACATATCGAACCCGGAAGACTTGTACTCTACGAGAAGTAGGTACTTTATCGCACGCATCTGTGCATGCGGCTGACTGGGTAGCGTAACAGCACCTCGAACCTGCAGAAGCAAGCGGTGTGTCCGTTTGATAGAAGCTGACATGTGTTATGCATCGATAGGGGAACAAATCACAGTAAACATCCCTCCACTTCAAAATCCGTAACCCGACCGGGAACCGGACCCTGAAAGGGTGGAGATGTACTAAAATCTAGCTCATCGAAGTGTACTCGTTCCGAAGAGGCTCTGTTCCACTACTGCAGTTCCAGCCCCCGGATTCGACCTTTACTTGCTTTTAGTGTTACTAGATACTCGGCTACCACTGCACAGAGCCTCCAAAGCCGTGACCCAGGCCCATTTGCCATTGTAGCTTCACCTAGCTTCGGACCGATCTTTTTTGATTTTTGGGAACAGAAAATTATTCCGAGCTTCCCCGCACTGCTCATGCGGGAGAGAGTGTGGTAAGTTAATGGAAGGATAATAAGAAGCTCTTAAGAAGGTAAGGGATTGGCTGGGGCGGTTGAGGGGTCGCTGTATGTATGATAAGGTATTGCAGGTATGGCTTGCGAATATCGTTTCTCAATGGATTCTTCTCAACCCCTCCTTTTCACAATGGAGGTTGTTTGTTCGTTCGTGGGGAATAGCGATAGGCAGACCACCGGGATATTCAGGAGGCGAAGTTTCGCAAGAAAAAAAAGAAAAAGAAAAAAAAAAACCTGAGCACACCATCAGTTGCAAGATAGAGCTAAAATGATCTAGAAGGAATAGAAGCAGCTCAATTGGGCAAGAATCATCGGGACCCTGCATCTAGCTTATCACTGTTGGTCTTGAGTCTCAACGGGAGGCGGAAGGTTGGGGTATCCTCCTTACCAACCGTAGTCTGCTGTGCTAGCACGAGTGAGGTGTCTCTGGGGCCATAGAATTTGAAGGTGAACAAGAACAAAGAGATTGGAGAAAGGAAAAGAGAAAGAATATGGTTTCAAATTCACGAGGACTTGGAGATAATAGAATGAGTCTACAACGTAGGCTTATCCATCATGCGCAATATTAGCATAAATTATTTTTCACACAAGGCCTGATCAGCTCTACCAGCTGACATCTGTGATAGCGGCTTTATCATCTTCGAAGATCTGACATATTGTAAGACCCACCCCCCCCCCCCCCTTCGAAATAGAAAAAGAAAAAAAATCTGTGGGTCCAACAGTCTTCGAGTACGAGTACTGTGATTTTCCCCGGATTAAGACAACCCCCCTACTGAGCCAGAGTTTACACTGGGTCCCAGCAGTAGGTGTACCTGAGTCACTAAATGCAGTCCTGTGGGTCGCTCAGTTGAACGCCTGCCGGCCCCTAATAAGTATAAGTCGTATCTAATGTACACATATACCAGACGATAAATAGAGAGCAGCTTCCCTCCCAATCCAAAAGCTCTCTCTCTTATCTTCCTTTCGTTCAGTTTAAAAGGACTCTACTACCATCTCCCCTATCTGTCCTTCACTTTCTTTCTATTACCATCTATCACCATAGCTCACCGGTGTTTCATTCATTCGCTTTTGAAGCACCGAGCTTCACTCTCTAAGCGTTGCCATCATCCCCATCGTTTCCGTAACATTCGCACCCAGTCTATATTGGCCAATATGGAAGACTCAAATACAGCCAATACTCGGTCCTCACATCTCCAGGTAGCTCCAGCTGAGAATATCGTTAAAACTCCCCAAGTTCCCATTCCCGACTCAGCTCTACGACACCATCAATCCCGCGACGATGGCTCCTATTTCCCTCTGCAAGTCGGCGGCGAGCTGGCAATTTCAACGTCCCCAACCCACTCTAATAGCCTTGGTATACCTAGAGTTGAGCTTAAGCAGGTCTTGAAGAAAGAACAGAGGAAGAGAGTCTCCTTGCCAGCGCAGAAGGATGAATCCGAAATTGAAAAAGAGACGCCAGTCGAGGAGGAAAAATCAACAGTTGAGGTTCAAACGCCAAAAATTGAACAACCAATGCCAGAAATCAAGAAGATGCCAGTCCACTCGATGCCTACGCCGCCGTTGTCGAGAAGTGTGTCGGCGCTGAGCTTTACCTCCAATCACAGTGCCATGTCAACAACATCCCAATCTGATAAGGAGACCTGGGATAGGACAATCGCTCGCGTGATCAACGGTATTGTCTCAATTAAGGCGACAACCACCAGACCCTTTGATACCGAATCTGCAGGGGACTACACAGCGACAGGATTCGTTATCTCGAAAAAGCATGGATTGATCCTGTCGAACAGACATGTTGTTTCGCCTGCGCCCATCACTTCTGTTGCCGTTTTTGTCAATTACGAAGAGATTCCCTGCTATCCTGTGTATCGCGACCCGATCCATGATTTCGGGGTATTTCGGTACGACCCAGCCAAGCTAAAGCATATCAATGTTGAGGAAATTGAGCTTCGCCCAGACTTGGCAAGGGTAGGTGAGGACATCAAGGTTGTTGGTAACGATGCAGGCGAGAAGCTCTCGATCCTTGGCTCTACCCTCGCTAGGCTGGACCGACATGCTCCTAGCTATGGTGTAGACTCCTACAACGATTTTAATACATTTTACATGCAAGCCGCCTCTGGGACTTCCGGTGGGTCTTCTGGCTCACCGGTCCTGAATATCCACGGTCAAGCGATAGCTTTAAACGCTGGTGGAAGCAACTCTTCCCAGAGTTCGTTCTATCTACCACTAGACCGTGTGGTTCGCGCAGTCGAAAAAATCAAGAAAGGAGAGCTAGTGAGCCGCGGTACGCTTCAGACAGAGTTTCTTCATACCAGCTACGATGAACTGCGAAGGCTTGGGTTGAAGGAGGAGGTTGAAGAAGAATGCAGAGCCAGAAATGCCAGCGCCACTGGACTACTCAGTGTGATCCGAGTGCTCAAGGGCGGCCCTGCAAGCTCAGAAAGAAAGCGCGCCGAGCCGAAGGAGGAAGTTGTTCCCGAGGGTGTTACCAGGGTCGCAGGACTGGAACCTGGTGATATTCTTTTTGCATGCAATGACCAATACATCACAAACTTCATTGCCTTGTGGAGTATTATTGACGATAGTGTTGGGCAGGATATCGTACTTGATATCTTCAGATCTGGGAAGGAAGGGAAGGAAGGTCCTAGAGGCAAACTGCAAGTCGTTTGCACTGTTCAAGACCTTCACGCGATTACTCCCAATAGGTTTTTGGAGATTGGAGGTGCTGTGATTCATGACTTGAGTTACCAGGTCGGAAGGAGTCATAATGTAGAGCTGGGAACTGGTGTCTTCTGCGCAGGTTTGTACTTCATTCCCGGTCGATTATTTCAAATCACTAACCTTCTGAGTAGCTTCTGGGTTTCTTCTGTGGTCATCATGGAGTCGAGACTTCCTCATCACGCACGTTGCCGGAAAGCCAACAAAGAATCTTGATCAATTCATCGAGGTGTTCAAGACCCTTCCCGATTATGAACGGGTTCCATTCATGACAAGATCTATGGGAAGGAATGAGGACCAGATGTTGATGGTTGATATCGACCGTCATTTCTTCCTTGGCGCTTTGTTTGAGAGGAACGATACTGCAGGAACCTGGATCAGACGTGAATTGGAACCTGCACCACTCAAACAAATCGAACCAGTGAAAGAGGAGAAGGAAGAGGAGACTGCTTTCGAGGAGGATGAAGAGGAGGATGCCGAAGACGTCGGCTTGGACAAGATCAAATCCGCCCTTGTCAATGTTGTCTGCCGCCTCCCATACTCAATCTATGGCCACACCTCCGCCTCCAATTATTCTGGTGTTGGCATGATCGTATCTCTTTCCCCTATTCCTCTTGTGCTCTTCGATCGATCGTCTGTTCCAACTGAGATGCTCGATATCCGTCTCACCGTCTCCAACAAGAACATTCCAGGTCGTGTCGTCTACATGGGTCAGTTCGCACTGGTTACCTTCGACATCGAGCTTTTGCCCAAGAACGTTACCGTGCCTGAGTGGGATGAAAAGCCACTCAAAGTGCGTGACGAGGTTAGAGTCGTCGGTTTAACTAGTGATCAGCTGTTGGTCCAGAAAGAGACCTCAATTGCTTCGATCGGTGTCAACTTCAACACTTGGCAATGCAATCCACCGCGTCATAGGTTGATCAACATTGAGAACATCAATGTTGCCGAGTCCTCTGGCTGCTGGGGCGGTGTCATTGTCCGTAAGCCTTTAAAGGATGCTTCAGACGATGAGAAGAAGAGCTTGAAAGTAGCTGCGTACTACATGGCGGTTTCTTCCCAGAACAAGACCGGGGACGATTCATACTGGACTCAGGGTCTCGACATTAGACGATACGTCCTTCCAGTCGTCGCTCGTATCAATGCAGAAAACGGCCAAGGCCAAATTGAACCTCCTCGCCGCGATCTTGGGATTGAGTTTTCTGATATGCCCCTCGCAACCGTTTTCACTATGGGCTTGTCCCAAAAGCGTTTCGACGCATATGTCAAGGCTGCAAAGAAGATCCGTGGTGTACCTCGACCTTTGATCGTCGAATCGCGACTCCGACCAGCCCCAGCCGGGGATGAGGAGAAGGCACTCAAAATCGCGGATATTGTTTTAGAGATTGACGGGAAGCCTATTCATCGTGTATCCCAGCTCGCCGAGCTTGACCTCGATACAAAGGAATTTGTTGAGATGGTCGTTCTCAGAGGCAGATCTGAAATCACGTTAACTGTGCCCACAACCCGTGCATACCCCACTACTGGAACCAACGTGGTTCAGTTCTTTGGTGCCATCGTCCATGCTACACATGCAGCTGTATTGGAGCAGGTCGATACTAAGAATCCATCGCCTCTTATTCCCTTGTCAACTCCCGGTGTCTATGTCGGTGGTGTTTCATACGGATCACCAGCTTTGGATAACATCAGACCAACACACTGGATTCTGGAGGTTGATGGTGTTCTAACTGGCAGCATTGAAGACCTCACCAATGTCGTTAGGACTAAGCAGTGGAAAACGGGTGAATACATTCGTATCAAGCAGGTCAATCGCAAGGGCATTACCAGCGTTGTGAGTGTCAAGGTTGACGAGAGATTTTGGCCTGTCCTTTCATGGAAGCGCGAGGAGAGCGGCGCGAGAAAGTGGACTCAGGAGAGAATCAGTGGAATGGAGTTTGTAGAGGGAAGCATTTAAATGGTTTTGGTTCATGTTCATGTTCATGTTTGGGTTGGGTTGGTACTTGGTTGGGGTATATACTTGCTATCGTTTAGGCTATGGTTTGGGGAGCACGGTTCTACAGCTTTAATTACGGGTTTTTTCGTTTCTAATGTTTTGATTGTATGTTTTTACGTTAGATGTTATACTTTATATGTTTTGTTTCTCTCTTTTACGAGTTATGGTTTTGGTAACGCTTCTATTAGATACTAGATCTAAGTTTATTGTTACGGTCAGATCTATTTCTATACATGTCTTTGTAGACGAGATGAATGATAAGAAGTCGTCTACATACTCTTTCAAACCTGAAGATTCTTATTGCCATCCATTGTCTTTGAAGTGTGTGCGGCTTTCCAGAGATATCCATGGTTCCTATATGTATTTCTGGGTGCAGTGATCCCCAATGACAGTCCATGCATGTATCGTATCGAACCGCCGAGTCCGATATTTGCTTTATGTTAGAGGCAATCCTTCCTTCTGCTTGTAATTACCTCCGAGGTTTAGGTACCCATACTAGTACCTCTAATTCTATACTGATACGAATTTATTTAAATCGATAATCTTCTCCATGACTACCTAATCTACAGAGAGGTGTCTCAAAAGCATAGATGACTTCGAACTCCATACCGTATTACATAACTTGAATGAACGGCCGGTCACACAAGACGTTGAAATTCCTGTATTCGGTTATTTGTCTTGAATAGGTGTGCCCCTATGTAATATTTCATCATACTGGCTTGGAAAGGTAAATTCGACGTCTTGTGTGACCGGCCGTCTACATATAGCTATTCGAATTAATGCGGGATTCTAGACCTATCTACGAAAAAAAAAAAAAGAAGAAAAAAAACATAAATGCAACGATATACCCTTTCCCCGTGTCTGTACAATGCTACAGTAGTAGTTACAGTCATTCTCTAGGGCGAGACGTACGTTTACCTCGAATGTTTAATGGATCTTGGCGTTTGACTCAAGTGGCGAACTGTAGAAGACTAGTCTAGGTAGGTCTTACCCAAACCTTGGGGCTGTGTACTAGGGATTCCTCTATAATTGCGGTGCCACTAAGGGGTGTTGATATAGGTGCTCTCTACAATTGCAAAGAGAGAGATTACTAGAACAGTCTTGTGCCCGCTCTTAAGTATAGCTTACTTCATATATTAGGTGGATACACGTAAGATCCATTTAGGACTCATAGTGGCGAGTGTTTAGACTTATTAGCCCTGCTCAATGAAAATGTGAGTCGATCTAGCTACTAATACTCTCCAAGTTACTCGGCCACTATTAGTTATTGTGTCTCTATAGCTATAGTTAGTGCTGGTATACTCATGATCACTTAGCCGTTAATTGTGCGCATATAATTCAATTGAGCATGTGACACTTCTAGCAATTTCGTTAGTTGCGTCATAGACAATCACTCACCCCACATATATGCCTCCTATTGCATACATGCAGTGAAACGGTGCTAGTACTACAGTGCGAGCCCGGTCTCCCCCCCCAAAAAAAAAACTGAACACTGCAGACGTACATAAAACCCTGCAGAATCAAACAAAAAGTATCCCGACGTTGCCAATAGCCTTCCACACCATCAATGGCCACATAGCTAGGCGGTGCCACTGTTGACCGGGTTTCAATTTTCGTATATACGTGGGATTGTTTCAAGGGATGTTGCACTCCTGGCTAGTCTCGAAGTATAAAATCAATGCGAGTTCCCTTGCAAGGCGAATTGAGGTTTATAACCGTGGGAAGTATAATATACATATACATGCAGTATATCTGGCCTTGAGCACCGTGGCCCTAGAAAGGCGCTAGTGATAACGTTAGAGGTCCAGGCAGCTCATGGCTAAATAGCCTAGCTACCAAGACCACAGCCATAGCTACATGTAGCTACGGATTTGGGGGTTCAGCATCATAATCCAATGGTCTCGTCTTCACAGTCACCTGTCTACCCGACTATCATGAGAGCAGCGCAGCCTCAATCTTCCAGAACTTGCATACCGATCCACAGATATCGTTTTAGCCCTCAATGGGAGTCGAGTCATTATATTAATCAACGAGGTATTACGCACTAATCTGTCGGCGTCCCAGCGGGAGAAGCATCCTATAAGGATGCGATCTTTGTCGTTTATCGTCCATTGGTTGACTTGTGGTATTCTTTGGTGATTCGGATCACAAAGCTGTGGCCATGCATTCCGGACTACATGTATGTAATGTATGTACGTGTTGTTTTATAAACCCGTCGGGTTCGAACGTTCGCTCGCTCGTTACTTACTGCAGCAATCTTTCTTCTTGGTATCTTTAACAAAGACTGGGCCAATAAACAAATAAGTCTCTTGTTATTGTTGCACAGACAATGCATAAGGTTTTAGGGATACAGCATAATCGATTATAGTGCCAGAGGCGCTGTTTAGATCTATATCATAAACGACTCGAAAGGCCTTACAAAGCAGGCCGAAGGAGGCTACTTGTAACTATTTTAACTATTTAACTATTTTCTGATTGGTGCAATCATTCAGCCTGTGTGCTTTTCAATTGGCCTAGTCCCTATTCGGAATTAATATTACTGTTTGATTTTCTTGGCAGGTACTACGTGCAATGTGCAAACGAGATCTGGGGATCGATAATCAGGAATGTGGATTCCTGGAGAAAATGTTTGCATTGCAAGAATATCCCGATCAATCCTAATTGATCACTACATGTACTTGTCTACATACGTAGCTCAGCATTTGAGGGAGGGCTCCTCAACCGGTTTCTCGAATGGCCGAACATCCGTTGCCTGTCGACTTAAAAAAGCTTCAGGCTTGCTTGTCATATCTCTCAAGTTGAGGCATTTCCGGTGTGTGTGTGAAAAGGCCAAAGTAAGTAATCTTCCACATCAGACGAAACCAACCAACCACCCGCGTTCCGGACACCCGCGCACACTGTTCATTATTTAATTATAAGGCAACGTTCGTTTGTTTCTTCTCCTCCAACATTCTTGCACTTTTTTGTGCTTTGCTTTGTTCACGAATACAGAAATCACGACGCATGATGATTACCGGCTCTGTCATACCACTTATCCTCCTGGCTGCTGCATCAGCTTCCCGGGTCGCCGCATTCCCCAACGACAATCTCGCTCGCCGTGCGGATGCAGCTACTCCTACTACTGCTACTACTACTGAAGCACCCACACCCTGGGTCAGCATCTACCCCGACGGCAGCGCCTCGACCTTCACCGAGCACGTAACCACAAACACCCGCGGGCAGTCCACGACGGTGGACACACAGCCCACAGGCTCCTCCATCCCCGACACCTCTCGGTCCCAGGATGTGTTTGCGCAGTGCGACAGTGACAGGTACGAGCTCACGCCAAAGGGGAACACCCAGCCGTGGATCCCGTTCTGCGCGCCCCTCAATGGCACGGAGTGGTGGTACACGGGCAAGTATTATGTTACGTGGAACCCAAACTTTTGGCAGAGGAACTCGACGGTGACGGTCATGCTGCATTACATCAACTACGGAGGCGCGGGGGAGCTGGCGGACTCGGTATGTTGTTGGTTCATGACGTATCCCATCATGATTAGTTATAATTAAACGGCCGCGGTGGTGCATGAGAGGAAAACCCGCGCTAACGAGAACACACAAAAACCCTTAGTGGGAAGTTGCAAACTACCTCGGGTTCCACCCCATCGTGCCCTCCAAGGACTGGCTCAAGAACCAGACGGCGCTCAACGAGGGCGTGAAAAAGGACCTCACGGAGCAGCCCATGGCCTTCTCCATCGTGGGCTCCGACACCTCGTCTGGCAACGGTGTCCAGGAGGGGCCCACCATCATACTTACGTCAGACCCGAAGGCCGCCCCCGTGGACACATCGCCGAACAACCGGCCGCCGGTTAGCACGCTGGGTTTGGCGATTGGGCTGCCCCTCATGGTGGTGTTTGTGGCGGGGACACTGTGCTGCCTCCATTTCTGCATGAGCAGTAAGCGCAAGGTGGGGCCCGTATCGATTGGTGGTGGACGTAGGCACCTGGTGGGGCGTGGATACAGCGGCCGGGCGGAGAGGAGGAGGAAGGCGGCGGCGATGGGGGGGCAGGCGGCGTATAGGGATGATGTGGCCGATGTTGACCCAGCCGACGGGAGGGGAGCGGAGTGGGAGCTGGCAAATGTCAAGGGGGGGAATTAAGGCGCGGATAAGGAAAAAAAAATTAAGAACAGAACAAAAGATGAATGAATTTCTTTTTTAGGACTGAGCCCTGATGTGTCTGATATAAGTACATGTAGTTGTGAGGAAACAAGGCTCCATGCACGGCGCAAGTGCCGGAGCTTAAGCTTAATTGTGCACAGACACAGAAGATCAGGATGGTCGCTAGGTGGCCCGTGAGCTGACAAACATCGATGGTGGGTGAAACAAAACGAAACATAAGTGCAAGAGGGTGGGTGTTCGAGCCCAATTCTTATCTAACGGAGTCCTCTCAAGCCAGAGAACTATGAGTGTCTTCCGTTCAGACACAACATGTACTTCCCTTGATGTAGCTACATCTACTATTCTACAAAAGAATATAAATCGGAAGTTTAGCTAAACCATAACCCCCTATATCCGGCCTGGCGTCTACCACTCACTAGACCACGCTCGCCCGCACGCACAATGTTCAGTGGCCCAGAAAAGTAATACTTAACGGAGCGGGACAAATTGAGCTAGGGCGACACATAACCCTGAAATTTACCACAATCTACATCCTCCACGACGTACACCTGGATACATGTATGTAGGCACATCTATGCCTTGACACACGCACACGCACACGCCACCTACAGCCAGCCACTAGCTCTAGTGATATTGAGGCGACTTTTAGAGAAAAAGTGCACACAAATGTAAACCCCCCACTCCTGGATCCAAAGCTGGAGCCTTTGGGACAACGTGGTGCTGAGTATACTAGTGTGCACGCCGGTTACATCACTCACAGTTCTCTTGCGGGGGCCTGAAAGTGATACCTCGGGGCGTTATGTAGTTTTAATCACAGCCTATCACTCGAAGAACCACGCACCACTGATAAAAATCCCTGTATGCACTAAAGACAACCCGGCCCAGCTAGCAATGTAAATCGTTAAATAATTTATCAATATCATTTTTAAATATACAGTAACGGCATCTCAGTAATTCTACATCTCTCTGTATTACACCCGTACCCTACCACTCCCTCCCCCCCCCCCCCAACCTACAACCCCCCCAACCTACAACCCCGCAACCTACAACCCCCCTCCGCCCCACTCCCACACTCACCCCTCCACCTCTCCACCGCAGCCCCCAGCCTCCTCACACCCTCCACCGCCTCCTCCTCCTCACAATAACTCACCGTAATCCTCACCCACCGATCCCCCCAGCCCATCCTATTCCTCTCCCCGGGGCACTCTGTCATATCCCCACTCATCACCCTCACCCCCCGCCCTCCTCCCCTGCTCCTCGGCCATGCGCACAATCTTGCGGGCGTCGTAGCCCGGAGGTAGACCGACCCACATGAAGAAGCCGCCGTGGCCCCCACAGATCTCGGTCCCCGCTGGGAGGTGCGCGCGGATTGCGGCGGCGATGGCGCCGCTGCGCGAGGTGTAGGTCTGCCGGAGCGTGGTGATGATGGCGTCGATGGCGCGTGTTTTGACGACGTGGTGGATCAGTGTGGAGACGAAGTGGGAGGAGTTGCCGCCCTGTGGTGGGTGTGGGGTGAGTATATGGAGGATTCACGGTTGGGGGGGGGGGGGGGCTTTGGGAGGAGGGTGAATGGTGAAAATAACTTACACTGATGTTGGCGCCCCCATGGCCGATCTGCTCCGCCAGTACACTCGTCGCAGTCTCGATCCAGCCACACCTCAACCCCGGCCCCAACAGCTTCGAAAACGAGCAGTTACTGACCGTAAACCCCGCCCCCTGCTCTAGCTCCCCCTCCTCCTCCATGATCTCCCGATCAACAGTGACCAGCCTGGGTAACAGCTTCCCGTCCTCCCCAAGCGCACACTTGTCGCCCTCGTTCCCGAGAAAGTCGTACACATCGTCCGACACCAGCAGCACGTCGAATTCCCGCGCGAGCTGTACCAGCTCCCGGCGCGTCGCAAGGTCCCAGGTCTGCCCCGTGGGGTTGGAGTATGTGGGGACGCAGTACAGGACGTACTTGTAGATGCGTTTTGGGGCGGCGCCGTCGTGGGAGATTGGAGCGAGGCCGGCGGAGAGGGGGATGTCGGGGGTGGTGGCGTTGAGGTGGTGTAGGTGACGGCACAGGGAGGGAGGTCGATGCTGGTGGCGGTCGAGGAGATGGCGGTTAATTTGTTGGTGAAACCGGCATCTGCGATCATTAGCCCACCTCTACACCATGGTTACACTACTACTGGAGGACTCAGAACAGGCGGAATAGAAGAATTAACCTTCGAATACTTTGGCGGCCAGGAAGTAGGCAGGGCTGATCAGGAACGCCTGCTTGGTGTAGCCAGTCACAGGGCTGGTGCAGTGCATCAGCACATTCATAAGCCCGAACGAGGCGCCGGATGTCATCAGGATTCGCTCTCTACAGCAGTCCACACCCACCCACATAAGGTCATCTTCTTCTTAACTACCACAAAGAAAAACTCACAACCCAATCTCCTCCCTCAGCCCATACCGCTCACCCGCCCACCGCGCAATCTCGCCACGGACGTCCCTGTTCCCCATCTCACTGGCATAATGCAGCGGATGCCGAATCACCGTGTAGCTGTCGACCGGGAGCGAGGGCGCATTCAGGACTACTGCGGCGGCATCTGCGATCTGTGAGGTTGCTAGAAGCCGCGTTGAGGGGTGGCCCCGTAGGAGGTCGATATTGCCGCTTACTAGCGGGGCATGTCACGCATCGTGGTTGTGGTTGTGGTTGTGGTTGTGGATTGTGCAGTGCTGGAAACGGGGACGGGAACGGGAACTTTGACAAGCCTTTTATTATTTATTTTTGAGAGGGTCAATTGCGGACGTAGCCTTTTGTTTAAGGATTGGAGGGAGGGGGGGTTACATCTTGGTAGTAATTAATTAATTGGAGCGGTTCACTCGCTGATGGAAAGATGCAACATCAACTCTCCCCGTGCTGTACCCCAGGAAAAGGTGGGGTGGGCACGTTAATTACTCGCATATGATTGGCCCGCGAATGGGCAGGATGTGTTAGTAACGGGATATGATAGCTATGGCTGTTCAATGAACAGTACAAGACGACCAACAAACAGCGAGGCTTTGAAGGCCTTGAGCTAAACCCACACCGGTGTTTTAAATATGACCCGTGTGTTATCCCCCAATCTGTCGTGCCAATTCTCGGAGTTGGGGGTGCAGATTGATACTGAACTCCATAGGGTTAGGGATCACCACTTATCTTGGCGCCTACGGAGCTAATCTTGCAAATATCAACTCGGGACACTGCAAATTATGGGTGAGTGGTCTAGTTGGTAGTACACCTAGACTGCCCCCCGCAAAAATACCATGTGTTCTGAAGGGTAGGAGTAGTATCGGTGGTCCCGATGCAGCACTTTTTGTGCTTTTTTTAATTGCTGAACATCTTGCTCTCACTATGAACTGAAGTTGTAGGCCCGTCGATCGTCCAACTTTGCTAAAAATTGAAGGGGTTGAAGACAGCGGAAGGGATAGGTTACTGCAGTTTCTTTCTACCCGTTTAAACCATTCTATAGGTTAGTTGGAGGTGTTGAAACAAATGATATCACTCAATAAACGGAACTATATCAATCAAAAGCATCAATTCTTGCAAATATCAGATTAGAACAGAAAAAGAAAAAAAAAAGAACCCAAACATGCACCACGCAATAATCCCCAAACCCAATTTCAGTCTTTCTTAGACCCTGATATCATTCGTCAACAATCGCCATTCACCACTATTATCCGACTAAAAGCCAACATAACGTTTTCGCCCCCACTTATCGGCCTCTATGCCTGTTTACAAATCTTTTCTTGGAACGAAGTCTGGGGATTGCTTCTTCTCCATGGCAGTGTAGCGGTCGCTAAGCTCGCCATACTCTCTGGTCAAACCCTCAGCCTGCTTCTTGACGATTTCCAATTCCCTCTCCTTGGCCTCGTATTTCTTTTCCAACTCGCTCTCGGCACCGGAACGGACACGCTCGTTGCTTTCAGCGCGAAGCTCCTTGACAGTCTGCTCAAGCTTCAGAACGTCCAAGATCAAGACGTACGTGCGGTTAAGAATGAGCGAGAGGAAGAGGGTGAAGCCGCAAAGGTACCTTTATTGCATCTCAATTAGTACAAGGAGCCAAGTAGGGGAGGCGGGCAAGGGATAACAAACATGTTGCGCTGCGAGTAAAACTTCCTCGCCTGAACCTCCATCCTTTCGTGACCCAATACGGTCTGCTGGCCACCATTACGGTCGGTGTTTCGGGAGAGCTCGTTGGTGACGCTATATACACGGTTTACGGAATCGATGAACAAGATTAATATAAACACGAACGTTATCTAAACACCGATAGTAATTAGAAACATTAATTCCTTCTCTTCGATATCAAGAAGGGAACTACGAGCGTACCTTCATGCCATATTGTAACTTCGCCACGAACGCATTTTCCGATATGAAGGTAAAGATCATCTTACGCCATGTGAATGGCAATGGGAGGATTAGGAGCATGAAAATGCCCATCTCCACAAGGAGAAGGAAAAACACCTAGATTTCAGAAATGTCAGCCTCGTTTCCTTTTGTTTCGCTACGTCATAGCCATCCCCCGACTTCTAGCCCCAAATTCATGCTCATTCTCAAGAGAATAAAGCAGAGAAGCCAGAGCTTAGAACCGGCCGATGGGATGGTAAAAACACAATCCTACGAAGCCACAATGGACAACAGAGAGGGTACAAACAAGAGTGTAATAAAGAGTCATGATTTCGACAGAACAAAGTGTGTTGAATTCAACGTAGTAGAGTTTCTGCGTGTGTATGTGTGTGGTATAGACTTTCAGGATGAGAGATGATGATGGATGAAGGGGGAACAGAAGGGGGAACAGAAGGGCAGAGGAAGGAGGAGGAATAAAGGACGACGTGGAGAGATTAAGTCATTTGGGGAACGTGAAAGGTGGCTTTGATCTGCCCTGTTTGTGTCAACAAGTTGAAGCCACACATACCGGCTTGGCACACACACATACGTCACCACCTCTTCATGGCCCGACAAAAACAACATGGCGGGGGATACGGATGTCTGCTGCTGCTGTTGCTGTTGCTGCGCCCACTACAGGAGGAGTCATTCGAGAGACTGTTCGTCTGGTTGGCAGGACATGGACATACGCAATCTCTCTACATACTGCCATTGAACGTTTACACGATCCCTCAGCAGCCGACTCTCTGGCAACATAAGACTGCATGTACTCTCCTCTAGAGTACATATGGGTACTTACTGTAGTCGTGCAACCTAATCGCTTATCATCTTCCCCCACAAGCTGTGAGACGAGTTCAATTCAGGCACCAAAGCTTATCTCACAAGCCACAGTGATGTCATACGTTATGAACCTCTCAACCTGAACAAAAAACAACTCCAGGAAATAATTGCGGCAGGTACCGGAGCAGAAATAGAAGTAGAAACATTTAGTTATTGGCTAGACCCATTCAGAGTGTTTTCTAGCAAGCTCAAATCAAAGACACCGAAACTGGTAAAAATTTTGGGATAACTACATATGTAGATATTCGATACCCTTGTCAATTTTTGACTGATGTTCGCAAGGATTTGAACTGCCACACTATGGATGGACCACAGTCAAATTCTGGCAAAACTGGTGCATGTGCATAACTCTACATATAATTCTACGCTTCTCTCCATACAATACTAGGGAATAAGGAACCAAAGAGTGCCGATATTGGCATATGAGTGCTGGTATCGCTAGTAATTGAAACAGGGCACAGAACACTTTGTTCTGAAATTTTTGTATAGTACAATAGGTAATGATACACCACGATGAGTAGACGCCATATCCTTTAAAACACAAACTTTTGAAGCTCCCGTATAGGGAGGGATATCCTGGAAAAACAATCAGCCCCCAGAAGGACTAACTAACCCTCCGCCTCGATGCTCTCATAGGCGTTGCTCTATTTTAATTCCCCAATTAGCTTTTCACTCTAAACACTCCTCCGAAAAGAAGTAGGAAGCACATACCTTATGCTTCGGAGTAAAGTAGAAATCCTCTGGCGCCTTCCCCAAGAACATCTCCGTGATCTTGATCCAATCCCTATAATCCCCACTGCCCATCAGCGTCTCCAACTCACTCCTCCCCTTCCACAGCGGTGGGCGGTCCTGAATCTTCGGCGGCAACCTCTCCAAGATCCCTAGCGGCACATAGCGGCACGAGAAGCCCAAATACTCCAACAGGAACCTCCTCGTCGTCGCCACCCCCAGCTCGTCCGCGCCCCAGTACTCCAGCCCGTAGCGCGCAAAGTCGCCCACATACGCCAGCCGCTCGGTCGCCGACTTGTCCAGATACTGGCCGGCCGTGATCTCCTCGAAGATCCACGGCTTGATCAGCGCGCCGCGCGCAATCATCACCGAGTCCACGCCGGACTGCTCGATGCCGTTGTAGTAGTCAATGTGCGAGTAGCAGTCGCCATTGCCGACAAGGTACACGGGGAGCTTCTCGCGGGCCTCCTTCTCGGCGGCCGTGTCGGCCGCGGCGTCAGACGTCTCTTTCAGGCTCTTGATCAGCGCCGCGGTCTCGGCGATGTAGGTCCAGTCGGCGGAGCGCGTGTAGCGCTGCTGTCTGCTGCGGCCGTGCAGCGTGATGGCCTGCACGCAGCCCTTGTCGTAGAGCTTGTGCACGAGCTTCTGCGCGGTGGGGTGGCCGTCCTTGCAGCCCATGCGCACCTTGACGGTGATGGGCGTTTCGCCGCTGACGTAGTTCATGCCTGAGAGCATTCTGAGGAGCTTGCCCTGGCTGTCGAGGAGCGCGGAGCCGCCGCCTTGCTTGTAGACGAGGTCGATGGGGCAGCCGCAGTTGAGGTCGACGAGCGAGAGGCCGTGACGCGGGGAGGAGGCGCTGGGGAAGAGGGTGCAGAGGGCTTCGGTGGCGCGGATCACGGTGTCGGGACGGGTGCCGCAGATTTGTGCGCCGAAGTGGGGGAGCTCTGAGGAGTGTGCTTTGAGGAGGGCCCATTCGGGCTTGTGGCCTTGGAGGAGGGGGAGGGTCATGGCCATTTCGGAGTAGGTGAGGGCCGCGCCGAGGGAGGAGCAGAGGCGCCGGAAGGGCATATTGCCGGTGGTTCTATGTGGAAATGTTAGCATTGTGATATAAGGTATTTAGAGGGTGAGAGTGGGGCTCACGTTAAGGGCGCGAGAAGGGGGGTTTCGCGGCCGATGTAGAGCTTGCGCTTCTCTTCGGCCCGGACGGGCTCCTCGACGTATGAAGCCCGGTCCTCCAAGATATCGCCATCTGGGCCGCGCTCCTTCTTCTGCGCATCGATGAATGCGTTGTAGATCTTGCTCTTTGGAAGGGGGAATTGGTTCTTCCTCAGGGTGATTTTTACACTCATGGGGACGTTATTTATGCACTCCCCATATGGATCATCAAACCCACCAACAGGAACCTCCTTCTCCCAATCCTGTGGTCTATCGTCATTAGCACCCTTGATGACCTTTGAGTTGGCAATCTTCTGCTTCATCTGCTCCGCCATAGAGGCTTCATAGGCCTTCCTCCGCTCCTCGTCGATCACGAGCATGAGCTCCCCATCCTCCTCCTTGCTGTGCGATTTAAGCCACCTGCAGCGCCAGCCACTCGCACACCATCCGCGCTTCTCCCACACCGGACAGACACCGTCAATGTCCTCCTTCTTGCTCTTCAGGTAGTCCCTAAGCACATGCGTATAAGCGCACAGCTGTCTCGCCGGGGGGGCCTCTGTCTCCCCCTCCTTCTTCTCCCCACCAGCCTCCTCCTTCTGCTCCTCTACCTTCTCTGGAGCCTCCTGCTCCTGACCCCTATTGCCTCCCTTCCCCTTCCCTCTACCCTTCCCGCGCTTGTCAGCAGCATTATTCCACCGCGCACTCGTGCCCCCCGCAAACTCGCACGCCGCGCTCGCAAACAGGCTCTCGCGCGGCAGCAGCACAAAGCTGTTGCACAGCTTGACGCTCTCCTTTGCGAAGTGGAACTTGCGCGCCTTGTTCTGGCCGCGGTCACGCTTCTTGCCGCGGTCGCGGTCGTCGCCCTCGTGGCGGGCGGCTTCGGCGTTGTCGTCGTTGGCGACGGTGGAGGGGTCGATGCGTGGGGTGGATAGAACGAGGAATCTGCATACAATTGAGGTCAGTCACCGGCCGTTTTCAGAGAGAGGAGAGGGGGGGGGGGGGGGGACGGACTCGGCCTTGATGGCGGCTTCACCGTCACGCGGGTCGGTGCGGATCTTCTTTGCCACTGGCTGCCCGGAGGTTGAGGCTGCGGTGGGTGTGGGCTCCGTCACTGTTTCGACAGGCGCTGCTGGCTTCTCCTCGAGATGCTCGGCGGAGCGCTTGGCCATTGCGGGTTCAGCGGTGGCGGCGGGCCCGGGTGTTTGTTCTTCTGATGACATGGCGGTGGGGTATTTGTTGCGTGAAGAGGAAAGGAAGGAAGAGAAGGGAAGGAAGAACGAGAGAAGAGGAAAAAGGTTCCCTGGAGATGGGAAGCGATAAGCGATAAGATGCATGAGTCAGCGGTGCCGAGTGATGGGCCGTGACGGGGCAGCCGCGTTCTAGATCGAGCATAAAGCAGCAGCTTTGACGTCACGGAGCGTTCAGCGGAGGGAGAGAGAGAGAGAGAGAGAGAGAGGGGCGAGTGGATGTGGATGTGGATGTGATGTGAATGTGGATAGGAGTCGGTCTATAAGAGCTCTAATTCCCCCAGGAATGGATATGGCTTTCTTCAATTAGTCTTCCATAAAAAGCACATCATCAACCATGGACGCCCAAGCACACTGTCTCTGTGGAGAACTCCAATGGACCGCGCACTTTTCCAAAGGAAAGATGCCCGGCCAGGTTCTATGCCACTGCGTGAGTCTTTTTCACACTCCTCACCAGAGAGACAGCCAGGCACTGACACCACATCCAAACCACCAGATGCCCTGCAAGATGTTTGGCGGCGGAGAATACACCGTCAACATGATGGTCCCCAAGGTATGTATATGCAAACAACACCATCAGCAAGCGCCCAACTCCATCCACAGAGAAGACCAAAGCTAACGCATCCCCTCGACCGACCGCTAGTCCGATGTTAAGATGACCAAGGGCACCCCCAAAGTCTACACCTACACCGGCGAGTCCGGCAACCCCGTCGACTGCGTAGCTCCCCCCCTCCCTCCCTCCTCTCCCCTCTCCTACCCATACTCCCCCGACCACCAAACTAACCCCCCGACCCAGTTCTACTGCCCCAACTGCACCACGCACGCCTACCACCACGAAAAAGTCCTCGGCGACCGCTACACAATGCACTCCCTCCTCTTCGAAGACGACACGCTCAAGCACCGCCCCATCGAGATGGAGCTCTTCGGGAAGCACCGCATGCCCTACCAGCCCGAGATCGCAAAGACGTACGAGGTCACGGATAACTCCTAAACCCGTCCGGCCCTGCACTCCACTTCGGGGGGCTTGGAGGAAAGACGGGGAAGAGGGAGACGATGTTTTTATTACTGCTTATAGTGGCTGGTCCGTGAAGAGGCTTTGTCGAGTAATTATTTTACCCATGAAAAAAATGTGTGAACGATCTATGTATTATTTATGTAGCGCGCGGGGTTTATAACTAACGAGCGCTGGTCAACCCTACCGTGTCATACACTACATGCATGTAAGTATGATGCGGTATTACTGTGGGCCCTGAAAAATAAAATCTGTATATTAGCTAGAAATGTATAAATATAATTATGGTAATCGGTATTGTTGGATTTGATGCACGGCTTGGGGCTGTTGGTGGTTAAAGTCTCGCTATTTGAGATCCACTATAGAGAAGGCTGTGACTCTAAAGACTCCGATTCAGGAAGACGAGAGTGATGATGGTTGGATTTAGTCGTTGAGACATGTTTTAACACATATCCCGCCGTCCTGCCCCACGGCTCTCGAGAATCCTTCGGTCTTGCTCGCAATTGTGCAAGCTAGTTAAGCATGAGGTCGAAGGGAGAAGGTCAGCTGCGTCACGGGTGGTCACTCGGTTTGCATCTTTCCTTAGAACTCACGGTGAAGAGGCCACCACCGTCTCTAGACACCACATGGTGTGATCATTCACTACATACTTTAAAAGCATCACATAAACCTGCCAGTACTCTTCGAGAGTCCAAGGTGTGTCCAGAGTGTGGCCTGGCTAAGTTACTAGCTTGGCGTGTGTGGAAGCTACATCCTACCCCATCACCACATTCAATAAGGGCTGAAAAGTCCACTACCGTCTAGAGTCGTGATCATTGACTACTTTAACTTGCGGGCCCCCATACACCTACCGGTACTTTTCCAGAGTCTGAACTGTGGTCTGGCTAAGTTGCACACTAACTTGACGTGTGTAAAAGCTAACCGCCCCCACGACCGCCCCCACGACCACCCCACCACCACCATCACCATCACCACCGCAATTTTCAAAAACATTCGATTCCTCCCAGGGACTAACATCTTTTTATTCTTTTTTCTTTTTTTTTCTCTTTGCTTCTGGTTTTCTTCCAGGGGTTGAAGATAAAGAAGATGGATGGATCATCATCTCCCACAAATATACATATGGGTCGTTAGCTTCTAGAGGAGAAGAAGAAAAAGGAAAGGGTCCTGGCCTTTGTTATTGATGGTAAGTTATCACGGTTGTTCTTACTGACAGCATCATTAATGTTGACGTTGCAATTGCCAACGGTTCATTGTGTAGTTCGGACGTGGTTCCAAACTATATGTATGTATCTGTACTCTAATTTTCCCTTAGGGCCATTTGTTTTTTAGACTGTATCTATAAAGAGGAGCCTTCTCTCCGGCCCCTTCTTTGCTTTAATGATTAGCTCGTGCAATCGACTTCACTTCATTGGTTCTCTCGGCTCTAAAGAATATGTATGTATGTATATATTTATTTCCTCCCTACTAACCTCCACTAAATACCTCCTCGCCATACCACTACCCCACCTTCTTCCTACCCTACACTATATATCCCTCCTCTAATATGGAACAGTCTAGTTAACTACATGTATCTACAAGGTACCATTCGTGACGGCAGCCGAGTGGTATCTCGCCAAATAGCCATACGCCGTCAAGTACTTATCAAAGTAAGGAAGCAACTCCGGTGTTCCTGGGGTGTTCCTCCAATCCCTCATCAAATCCATGGCGACCGCGAAATTTCCCATGAGGGTAACACCAGCTTTGGACATACGGTCATTTGCTTCTGCTGCCAGTCTCTCGTTGAAGGTTCCGCTGGCATCCGTGTTGGCGAAGACCTCGTATCCCTCCTCACGGAGGGACATTGCTAGGAAGGCTGTGCATACCTATTGTGCCGGCCATATATGTTAGCGTCAACTCAATAAACGGGAGGAAAGATTCTAGCTACGCACCTCGGTGACAATCCCGCCAAGGATAATCTGCGTCTTATTTGCAGCCCTCACAGCGTCTCTAAACTCCGAGTTATCCCAAGCGTTGACCTCGCCGTTACGTTTAATGAGTGGTGCGTCAGGGTGCATATCAAGGATTTCCTGCGGAAGAGGCCCGTTGGGGCCTGTCTCGGCGCTTGTGGTGAGGACCGTGGGGAGGTCAAAAACGTTTCCGAGAGCGGCGTGTGCGAGGATGTTGTTTTTGAACTGGTCGGGGGAGAAATCGCGGACGAGCTGGAAGAGACCGAGTTGGTGGTCGACGACCAGGAGCATGGCTTTGTCTTTGTCGATGCGGGTGAAGGTTTGGTCGACTGTGGGAAAAGGCGAGGACATGTTAGTATCTTGAGATGGGGAATGTGAGGGGGGGGGGGGGGGGGAAGGGAGGAGTGTACCGGTTGTGGCCGCGAGGGCAGACGTGAGGAGGACGAGAACGGTAGGGAGGGATTTGAAGAACTGCATTGTAAGTACTGATCTGGTGTTGGTACTGGTATCGAAGCTAATCTTTGGGAGAGGATGAGAGAGGCTCTTGAGCTGTAGAACTGAGGAGTGCCAGAGAGCTGATGAGTGAGGTGAGGAAAGAAAAAGTCCTTTTCCACGGCGGGAATCGTCAATATTTATATCGAACCCATCTCTCTCTGAGAAGCCCCCAAAAATCTATAACTACGACAAGTAGTCTTCTTCGGGCAATTGGGAAGGCCAATCCCCTGTGAACAATTACGAGATAAATCTTAAGCATCGAGTAAGTATACTGCATTGATATTGAGGTTAATAACCCGGTAAACATTGGCTCTGCATGCAGATATCGTTTTTTGGGGACCGCTTTCAAAATCTGACAAAATTATTACCATGCATATCGATGCGGCAGGATATGGCAACTAATCATTGACACTCGATTGCGGCGACGACTTCCAGCTAGAGTGAAGGCGCAGTATGCAGCTCAATCTAACTATCCCGTCCCGCCAGAGAGGTATCTTTCTTCTAGTGAAAAGTCGCGATCCCGCCCCTGTGATGAGTGGAGGTGTTTTGATTGGTGGCTGACAATTGAGTACAAAGCTCATGCTAATACAACTACTTAATTGCACGGCCAGCGGTCCCCACCAATAACAAGCTCTCAATTTATTTTATAGACATCGTCATTACCATATAACACTTGATTAATGAGCTTCGTCTGCCAGATAGACCTCCTAGCTTGTTACATCTGCGCTGCGTTGTTAACCAAGTTATTTTACTAAATGTATGATTTGCTTATGCCATTTGAAGAACCCTGATGTAATCCAGCGAAACATCCACCACAGTGGCTTTCCAACCCTTACTACACATGCGCATTTCTGTGTCAGCGACTACTGTCGCTTCGTCGTCCATTTAGAGGTGCATACCCGGAGGCTCCGGATCGCATGCAGCACCCGCCCGCATACAAAAGTACCTGAGGTACTGTACTCCCCGCCCCACTAGTATCAAAGTAGACATTGTGATAAATCGCACCCCAAGTTCCTGCGGCGTAAACACTTGACCCTTACTCGCCGACAGCCGGATTATAGAGTTTTTTTGACGGTAGAGGCAGGTTGATTATGTTGTTGTGACAATGATCCTGGTCAGCAAGCTGCAGTTGCAGCAAATCTGTTTACCTCAGACTGGCTGCCAAGATGCATCAATTACTGAGCAAGCATAAGCGATCGATAATTATTATCAAGCTGCCCTTTCAAAAAATTTAATTAAGGCCCCCGAAGCAATACGTAGGATATTCCGATCGGCACTGTGCTTTTGCATCTTGGAATAAAAAGAGCCTCTCGTATATGCAGGACTTGGATCGTTCCAATTGGTTGATATTAGGCGGAGAAGATCTCAATAACCCGTGATACCCTAAAATAAAATAAAATAAGGCACAGAGATAATGTCTCGTGCCCGGATTACCCCCCATTGGTTCATGTTGCCGGTTGGAGAAAGCTTGTTTCAAGGTATTATGAATGCTCACCGGTGATAAGTACGCCGCAGGCAGCTTTGAATCACGGGTACTGAGAGCCCCTGAACTCAGGACACTTCCCTGCTAGAGTACAGAGGCTATTTCCTGTTTTTCTTGAGCGAAATGCTCTATGTTGTCTTAAGGCCTATATCGAATACCTATAACCAATTGTCGCACCGGCGAAGTTAGATAGGCCAGACAGAGCAGGTGCCAGCTGGTCGTTAACCAAACCACTAAGCGAACGGCAGAATCGAGTGACCCCTCATGATGCCCTGCTGAGTCTTTCCCCTCTCCAAGCAGCCCCCCCCCCCCCCCCCCCCCCCACATATATCAACCAAGATCAACTGTCTTGTACATTTCAATCCACGAAAGAAGAGCCCTATTTAAATTTCAAAATCCATGCTGCCTAATCCTTTGCACAGTCTCGCCAGTTCCTATCGATCTGTAGAAGTACTTTTTGCTTTTAAACGCAGCTAGGCTCTTATTTCGAGATTCTTCATCAGCTAGACCCTGATATCAACGGACCACATTGACAGTCTAGCATGCAAGCTCTACGCTTTGCCAACGCTTGATACTCTCAAGACCGTCCTCCCATTTCGCGATGGGATCGCTTAGCCCTCTCCCTGGAGGTTTCAACGGATTCCCTTTCGTAAGGACTTAATTGGAGTCGAGGAGAGGGAGCGAAGAGGTGAAGCCAAGTTAACGCAGGCAGTTCGAGCAGCGGGTGAGAGTCTGTGTCGCTTGGCCCCAAGCAAAAGTGATGGCGTCATGTGGCTGCCCATGTGTAGCCAACGCAGGGACAAAGTGCTAAAACTCGGTCCACAAACTACACCACCCGCCGTAGAGTAGAGTTTATCTACCCCACAGAAGAAGGGACATTACTCCACACAGCTCTGTCAGCTGGCTGTCAGCTGTGAAGCTCATTCCCAGTAACAAGCATAGAGCACTGAAATAGAGGCTCTTCTCAGACGTCCATCAGATGACCGCGCGCCCATGTGAATTATTATTATTGTGTCGTGAAAGCCGAGTCCGGGCCGATATCTGGGGGAACGGAGCAATCACATGTCACCGCCGTGTCTCGCTTTGAGCCGGCATTCGGTGCACGATTGTGGGGAAGTGTGTTCTTGGCGATGCAATAACAACAATTCAGCAGCTTTCTCTTCTCGGTCTCTCTCTCTCTCTCACAACTCCTCTCCATCACGTCCCCCCCTCAAAAGTGAAGTTCGGTTTAGATATATCTCTTTCTCTTTGTAGCCAGTAGTAGTAGTAGTAGTCATTACTCCCCCCCCCAAATACCTCCAAACAATAGCTACCATGGCCGCCCTCCGCACAGCTCTCCCCCGCGTCCTCCGCCGGCCAGCAGCAACAGCAGCAGCTCTTGCCAGGCCAGGAATGGCCCCATTAGTTTCGAGGCGTCACTACTCCGAGATCAACCCCACGCCCATCTTCCACCTCACCGAGACCGAAGAGATGCTGAAGGAGTCCGTTGCCCGATTCTCAAAGGAGGTGATCCTGCCCAAGGTCCGGGAGATGGACGAAGCAGAGATGATGGACCGGGGAATCGTAGAACAGCTGTTCGAGCAGGGCGTGATGGGCATTGAGATTGGAGAAGAATACGGCGGGTCTGGAATGAGCTTCGGATCAGCAGTTGTAGCGATTGAAGAGCTCGCAAGAGTCGACCCTTCAGTAAGCTCCATTCCCCCCTTCATCTCCGTAGAACTCAGCTAACAATCCTAGGTCTCCGTCCTGGTCGACGTCCACAATACCCTCGTCAACACCGCCTTCCGCACCTACGGCTCCGCCGCCCTCAAAAAGAAGTATCTTCCCCGCCTCGCCACCGGCACCGTTGGCTCCTTCTGCCTCTCCGAGCCCGCCTCGGGCAGCGACGCCTTCGCCCTTCAAACCAAAGCCATCAAGTCCTCCTCCGGCGGCTCCTACAAGATCACGGGCCAAAAAATGTGGATCACCAACGCAGCTGAATCCGAGATCTTCATTGTGTTCGCCAACATCGCTCCCGAGCGTGGGTACAAGGGTATCACCGCCTTTATTGTCGAAAAGGGCATGCCCGGCTTCGCCATCGCAAAAAAGGAGAAGAAGCTCGGCATCAAGGCGTCCAGCACATGCGTGCTCACATTCGACGACGTCGAGGTCCCCGCCGAGAACCTGCTGGGCAACGAGGGCGAGGGGTACAAATACGCAATCTCGCTACTCAACGAGGGGCGCATCGGTATCGCCGCTCAGATGACTGGTCTCGCCTTGGGTGCGTGGGAGAACGCCGTCAAGTATGTGTGGAACGACCGCAAGCAGTTTGGCAAGTATATTGGCGAGTTCCAGGGGATGCAGTTCCAGATTGCGCAGGCGCGGACAGAGATTGAGGCTGCGAGGGCGCTTGTGTATAACGCTGTGCGCGTGAAGGAGGCGGGTGGGGCGCGTGCAGGTGAGGGTTTCGTGAAGGAGGCAGCGATGGCGAAGCTGTATGCCTCGCAGGTGGCGCAGAGGGTGTCGGGGAGCGCGATTGAGTGGATGGGTGGCATGGGATTCGTGAGGGAGGGGCTGGCGGAGAAGTTTTGGAGGGATAGTAAGATTGGCGCCATCTATGAGGGCACGAGCAATATCCAGTTGCAGACGATTGCAAAGTTGCTGCAGAAGGAGTATAAGGTGTAGACTGGTGGATTGCACGGATTGCACCTGTAGCTATTGTAACCTAATTAGTGTGGTTAGAAAGGCTTGCTTGCTCGGGGTTTCATGAAGAAGCGTTGCATTTTTGCGGTTTCCTGGCATTTTTTGTTTGCTCGTGTGGGCGGGTTATAGTTCGTGGCGTTAGAAATATCATCCTTTTTTCCGCAGATCTGGTAGAGGTTGACACTCGTTGAAGTAGAATACACATGTGGTGGATGTTGGTCATTGGCCCCCCACTCATCAACCTCACCTCAACCGTGCCTATGATGAACCGTCTAAATGACATCAACGGCTGGTCAGACACATCCATCTTCTAATCGTCTTTTACGAAAGACCCCATCCCTGTCAGCTGCCGAAAGAGCTTCCTCAGCCCAATTCAAGTTATCCAGCCAGTTCCCCTAGGCCTGTTCAAGCTCACTATCGACTCCTCCAGCCAGGAAAGTGGCCCGGACCGTAAACGGGCCGTAGCAGAATGCTGGTGACTGATTGTGGGTGCCTCTATGGGGAAGGTTAGCCCCTGCCCCCACCCACTATCGACAGCTATAGATCAAGAGGGGGTTGCCACTTTTCCGCTTGGCCCTTCTTTTCAGTCTTTCGGAGGGGGGTTCGTTCCCCTCCTACCTCCCTCGAGTCCCTATAGACTAAATGTACCGATCCCAGCCAGTATTCGAGCCTAGCATCACCCATATATCCCCACACCCACTTTCAATCTTCCCCACTATCCACAGTAAACTCACCAGGCTAACAACCCATCACAGCCAATCACTCGACACACTATCGCGCTAACCCAATACGGCTAGCCTAGCCAGTGGCCTGGATA